AAAAACACAGGAAATTTCAAATAAATATTGCATACATCTGCATTTTTGTTATTTACCCTGAGGCCCTCTTATCAGCAGGAGACCAGTGTAATGAAAGCAGTCGCTCTCAGAAAAATACCAATACACAGCATGACTTGAGACTTTTTTCTTGTATAAAAGCATTCCCTTTATACATTAAATTTTTAATATATAGAAATCTTGAATAAAGTTGTAAATTTTATTTATTACATGGACAATTTTCAATTATTTATATCTTTAAAAAGTATGCAAGCATTTCATGGTTGAAAAACATACTATCACAGTGTATAGATTGTTTTAAAATCAATGAATTAATATTTTCTTTCAATCTTGAACATGAGGAATTGCCTCTTAAGTTATATATGATTATGCAGAATGGCAAGAAATGTGTATAAATATAGAAAATTCTGCTTTAGAGACAATAATATCTAATACGCATTTATGCCATTATGACTTTTTTGTATATTTGATTATACAAAAATTATGGTCATTTATCTATATGACTAACTAGCCTGAGTGCCAATGCGTGATGAATTCCATGCATTTTGAGAAAACCAGGGAATTTCAATACATACTTATAATCTGCAAAATTGACTGATCTTTGTCATTTACCCTGAGGCCCTCTTATCAGCAGGAGAGTGGTTATAATATTAGGAAAACTGTTAGTTCCTCTCAGAAAATACCAATACACAGCATGACTTGTGATTTCCCTCTTCAATAAAAGTAACCCCTTTATACATTATTTTTAATATTGACATCATGAATAAAGTTATTAAATTTATTTATTTTATGGATAATATTTTAATTATTTATATTTTTAAAACATATGCAAGCATTACACAGTTGAATACTAAATTTTCACAGTAAATTGATTGTTTTAGCATCAATGTATTAATATTCTCTTTCAATATTGTACACGAGGAACTGTCTCTAAGTTATAAATTATAAAAATAATATTTTAGCTTAAATATAAACTTTTCCTTGATTTGTTTGAGCTTATGGAAAAAAAAGTTTATGTTGTTACAAACTAAATTATTTGGGCCAGAATTATCACATTGATTTTCCCATTTGTACACTAGAAAAATAGAAATACATGGCCATTAAAAACACTTATTTAATTATCCATTACGGAGCATATTTAAATTTAACCTTATTAATTCTATAAATTTTGATTTTAAGGGGTTTTATTTTACACCTACAGTAAAATACTGGTTAAGAAAAACATGATTACAATCAATAAAAAAAATAATTTAAAGCTTTAACATGATATCACCTAAAATGGTAAAACTGCTGATTTTAAAATTTACTTATTTATATTCATGAATAGGCCATATATTCCCAAAGTTTTTTTTTCTTACAGAAGCTTAACATAGATGCCCCCTGTCACTTGATATGCAATTATCCAATAAACCATTTAGGTGTCACCTTCTCTGGCCAGCCTGGTCATATGGTCTAGTGCACTAGAAGTGCACACGGTGTGCACTTCTAGTTCAGCTCTAGTGCACTAGAAGTGCACAAGGGTGGGAAGTTTAGTGTGAACTCAACTGTATGAATGGTTGAACACAACAGTAAGGATAAATAGCGCAATGTGCATATCTTTTTATTTTGGTAGCATATTTTAAGCAAAAAGAAAAGACACTATAAGTCTGAAACATTCTCTCATAGCCTCCCCATCAGTACATTCAGTGCTTTGATTCTGAGTACCGTGTACTTTTCCATACGACCCGACCCTCTATGAAGACGTTGTCTGGCAGTATACATGTAATCATCATCGGGTACCCATGGCATATTAGCATGTGACATAACAAATATCAATAAATGTTTAAGATCCTGTAGTGTATGTTGTAATTAAGATTGTTACCACACTTAAGTGAAATTTTATATATGTATATAATTATGCTTCTAAAACAATTTACAAACATCGAAGAATATGTAAAATATGTACTGCAAATATTTGTACCCATTATAGGTCATCATTAAAATATGTGCTTTCATTTCTTATTGAAAATTTGACTTAGGCTTTATAGAAAATAAATTTCTAATTATACCTCCCTGTGTTAACATGAAATGTAAATTCGGTAATGTCTTTACAAATAATGCTTTTTTGGAACTTACAATAAATCTTTATTTGAGCATTATATATTTATGATATAAAACCATAACAAAATATTGAATTACAGGATCTTTAATGGTTTGGCTATCATTTACATGTAACGACACTAAAAATGAGGTCGCATTTAGCATCATACAACCTATGTAAAAGTAATTGTTACGACGCGCTGTTAACATTATATCGGCGGCCTTGACCTCCACGTGAATAAAAACAAGAAACGCAGGACAGGTGCGACATCTCAATTAAATTTACAAAAATGGTGCGTGCATGGTTTATGAATTATGACACCTCTGTTGATCAGAGGGAACCCCACCAGTTTGAACCTCCACGTCCTGTGAGCTTAGATGATCTTCAGAAGCTTGGTGTTTTATATTACAAGGTATTTATTTACATCATACATGTATTTTTTAAAGTTCTAGTTTTCTACATGGCTAATTGAATGTTCACAAAATATGTGCTTGGTAGCAGAAAACATGTATCCTAACTCAAAAATGAATTCTCGTTACACTATATATACTTAGAATTCATTTCTGACATAAGATAAATGTTTTCTGCTATCAAACAAATATTTTGTGAACATTAAATGAGCCTTACCCCTGTGCCTGTACTGTATAAATTTGTAATTTATTAAAGTTTAAACAGGTTTTGTCTACCTATCTATTGTCAATTAAATCAAAACTCTTATCAGGGATGAAAACATGACTATACTTGAGAGACAGCTATAAGATATAAGGGAATCTGGGAACCAGTCCCTAGCTCTTATTGAATAGACCCCTTGGTACATGCATAGTGCACCCAGGGCTCGACAAATTTTTTGGGAGCAACTCGTCCTGCAGGGCCAGTAGCTTAGAACTTTTACTCGTCCTGCTGCAATATGTACTCGTCCTATAGTTCACTAAAGACCACACAGTAGATTAGAAAAGATGACCCTTAAAGCGCATGAGTTAAAAAAATATTGGCGATAGTCCTCCCTAGCCTAGGCAGTTTTATATTAAACCCACTCCAAAGACTATATGATAGATTGGACAAGACTGTACAGAATGGATAGAAAAGGGAGAAGATCACATTTATAACTACATAATAATTTTTATGATCAAATGAAAATAACTTACCTTTCAACAATGTCCATCTCAGTGAATGAAAAATGAAAATCAAGAACAATGCTTAAAAAAATAAAGATTTCTTATGTGTTCTGGCTCATTTTTCATTTTTGATGACACTGTTTATCTTTCCTCTCCCTGGGCAAATGTGCCAATTATCGCATTGTGACATTTTAAACTATTTTTTTAACAGAGTTACAGACAAATTTTTGTATTACTAATGTAAAGATCGTTGTTTTGTGGAACATCCCGGAATCCCTGCAGCGAGCTTTTAGTATGATTTAACAAAACGGAATCAGACAGAATTTAGCATTGCATTCAACAAATCAACATCTGTTTTGTCCACCGTCAAACACAGGGGAATTATTTCGTGCTCTGTTGTACTAGTGAAACTCAAAAGAATAAAAAATTGAATTAAATTGAAATTTGATTATTTTCTGATAGAAATTTCACTCGTCCTGCAGGACGAGTATTTCTATGAGATTTACTCGTCCTGAGTAAATTTTTACTCGTATTTACGAGCGGACAAGTGGATTTGTCGAGCCCAGGCACCAGTATATTTATACTTTCTCTATTATGTAAGGAAGTGGTAACCTAGCGGTTAATGTGTCTATCTTTCTAACCGTTTAAGCTAGCCTACATAAAGCAGACTTGAGAGTGGTTTATAATTATAAGCTACACATTTTCATAACAATTTAATAACTTAACCCATTACTTCATTTAGACATCTCACCCCTCTTTTTGAGACCTCAAATGGTGAAAAAATACCCTATTTAGACCCCAAACACTTGTTTACGGTTGAGAAATATTTTTTAAAAAGTGACCACTTTTTCGGTGACATCCCCTATCAAAAAATACATTGGGGCATTGTGCCTCTTCTGCTTAGGGGTTTGAAGGGGGGCAGCAGCACCCCTCAACGCCAAGAAAATTTTGGACTTGTGAGAGGCTATAATTTCCCTCAGGTCAATCAGAATGTAATGTGTAACCATACAATGCTGAAAAGCCTTTGACTCTATCTCAATCCATTGAGAAGTTGCAGCACTTTGAATTCAGTTTTGATGGAAAAATCTAAACAAAATAGTGATTTTTGGCAATTTTGAGATGTCCCCTCGTTGCCATGATTACTTGAAATTTAAGTTTGAGCATGCCATTACAAAGGCTATGGTCCAGCCAAGTTTGGTGAATATTGAAGCATCTTTTATAGTTTCAAAGCAATTTGAACTTGTAACAGGAGGCTTTTCAATGAAAACAGCCATTTTATACAAAATGCTCATGCAGTAAATGGGTTAAATAAATAATCATCTTTAGGTTTATTAGCACATAAACATTGTGAGTGCACAATTTGGAATTTGTTTCTAAATTAAGATGTAAAAATCCCAAATTTTGACCTTTTGTGAGAGAGACTGTTTTTATCAGTGAAAACATTCCATACTGAATTAAGTCACTTAAAATCTGATGAAGTAAATATAAAGACTTAAGTTGTTAAAATTGTTAAAATAGTTTCTGCTGATTTTGAGATTTGCAGTATACATTGTACTGATGTATATTCTAATTTCATGCAGATAAGTAAAGGGGCCTAGCCTTATTCTATAAGTTTGTAACTGTTAAAGTTTGTTTGTGTTTCCAGATTTAATAGTTGGAAAAGCATAAACTATTCTTGGATACCAGTCTTGGACTTCCTATTTGAAAAGGTGTATACAGTCATGTTAATACAAAAAGGAGTGTTTGGTCAGTCTTTGAATATGTTTGTATGTGCAAACAATTTATACCAGCCTGGCTCGTGCAGATTGACTTGGCTTCTTGTGCAGACTGGCCTGACACCTCAGGGTGTCCATTGACCCTTGAAATTTCCAAAAGGCCTGATTTGACCCTCAGGATTTTAACTGAAGGGTCAACTTTTTGGCCTGGCTCCTTGTGCTGACTGGCCTGGCTCCTTGTACAGTCTGTACAAGGAGCCAGGCCAGTCTGTACTACAGACTGGCCTGGCTCCTTGTACTGACTGGCCTGGCTCCTTGTGCAGACTGGCCTGACTCCTTGTACGGACTGGCCTGGCTCTTTGTACAGACTGGCCTGGCTCCTTGTGCAGACTGGCCTGACTCCTTGTACGGACTGGCCTGACTCCTTGTACGGACTGGTCTGGCTCCTTGTACAGACTCGCCTGGCTCCTTGTACAGACTCGCCTGGCTCCTTGTGCAGACTGGCCTGGCTCCTTGTACAGACTGGCCTTGCTAATTGTGCAGACTGGCCCGACTCCTTGTACGGACTGGCCTGACTCCTTGTGCAGACTTGCCTGGCTCATTGTCATGTATGTAATGACTGGTCTGACTCAATATGCAAACTGGCCTGATCCTTTGAGCAGACTGGCCTGGCTCCTTATGCAAACTTACCTGGCTCCTTGTGCAGACTGGCCTGGCTCCTTGTACAGACTGGCCTGACGTTTTGTGCAGACTGATTTTGCCCTTTGAGCAGACTGGCCTGGCTTCTTGTGCAGACTGGCCTGGCTCCTTGTGCAAACTGGCCTGGCTTCTTGTGCAGACTGGCCTGGTGCCTTGTGATGACTGTCCTGACTCAATGTGCAAACTGGCCTGACCCTTTGTGCAGACTGGCCTGGTGCCTTGTGATGACCGGCCTGACTCCTTGTGCAAACTGGCCTGACTCCTTGTACAGACTGGCTTCTTGTGCAGACTGGCCTGGCTCCTTTTGCAGACTGGCCTGGCCCCTTGTGATGACTGGCCTGACTGAATGTGCAGACTGGCCTGGCTACTTGTGCAGACTGACCTGACCCTTTAAGCAGACTAGCCTGACTCCTTGTACAGACAGGCCTGGCACCTTGTACAGACTAGCCTGACCCCTTGTGCGGACTGGCCTGGCTACTTGTGCAGACATGCCTGGCTCCTTGTGCAGACTGGCCTGGCTCCTTGTACTGACTGGCCTGGCTCAATGTACAAACTGGTCTGACTTCTTGTGCAAACTGGCCTGACCCTTTGAGCAGACTGGCCTGACTCCTGGTGCAGACTTACCCGACTTAATGTGCAGACTGACCTGACCCTTTGTGCAGACTGGCCTGGCGCCTTGTGATGACTGGCCTGACTCCTTATGCAAACTGGCTTGACTCCTTGTACAGACTGGCCTGTCTCCTTGTGCAAACCGGGCTGACCCTTTGAGCAGACTGGCCTGACTCCTTGTACAGACTGACTTGGCTCCTTGTGCAGACTTATCTAGCTTAATGTGCAGACTGGCCTGACTTCTTGTGCAAACTGGCCTGACCCTTTGAGCAGATTGACCTGACTCCTTGTGCAGACTGGCTTGGCTCAATGAGCAGACTGGCCTGGCTCCTAGTGTAGACTGGTCTGACTCAATGTGCAGACTGGCCTGACTCCTTGTACAGACTGGCTTGGCTCCTTGTGCAGACTGGCCTGGCTCCTTGTGCAGACTGGCCTGGCTCAATGTGCAGACTGGCCTGGCTCCTTGTGCAGACTGGTCTGGCTTTTTCTACAGACTGGCCTGACTCAATGTACAGGCTGGCCTGACTCGTTGTGCAAACTGATCTGACCCCTTGTGCATACTGGCCTGGCGCTGTGTGCAAGCTGGTTTTGCTCTGTGTGCAAATTTGACTTTATTCATCCCACAGGCAATCAAAAATGTAAATATATGTGATTCTTTTAGTATTAATTTTAATCTTTCATTAGAAAATAAATGACCAAAAATATATTAGTTAAAAAATCCTCAATTGATGTTTTTTATGCTAGTTTGCTTTATATTTTACTCTGAATGAATCATTGCATAATGTTATACTTTCAACCTTTATATACCGGTATTCAAAACTTGTCCTAGTTTTAGTACAGCTAGGGTATCTTACCTTAAACTTAGCCATGTGAAACACTGGTGTAAAGTATAATTGTATTATAGTTTGGGGACTTTTCTGTTGAAAATGTGTCAGAGTTAAATCGTATACATATACATGTACAGTGCGTTAACTGGAGTGCGGGTATTAGTTACCCGCACTCCAGAGCGTGCCCATTGATTGGTTCATTTTTGCTGGGGTTTACATATTGTGACGGAAGAGAAAGGGAAAGCGATAGAAATATCATATTCAGATGATCATTCATTGGTTCATTTTTGCCGGGGTTTCATATTGTGACAGCAGGGAACGTGTTTTTATGTTTGACTATAATACAAAAGAGAAAGAACACCAAAACACTCGGCAATCTGATTTATACTCGGGGGCTACGCCCCCTCGTACAAATCAGATAGCCTCGTGTTTCGGTGCTCTTTCTATTACTGGTAGTTTTAAATAATGAGGTAAATATCCAGCCAAGCATTGTAAAGATATTTTTGATATCTGGTAGACAAAATACACTCATCTGTGAAATAGA